ATATCACTAGCTTTAAAATTTCCTCTTTTCCCTTTGCTGAAATTTTGAAAAGAAAATGTTGAAGTTTTTAAGCTTTCGAGTGAATAAAACTCATTTCATTGTCTTATTGCTGTTAATTGTCATTATTGTTTGAAAGAAATCTCAGTACTTATAAAATAAACAAATAACTTCATGGTTGGTTTGCTTGTACGATTTTTATTCACTTGTTGTGAAGAATCGCAAACTCACTCGCTTGAAGACTCACTCGTTCGTTTGCGATTTGTCACAACTCGTGAATCAAAATCGTACACACTCATCGACTATGAAGTAATTTATATATCTTAATATCAGGGGGCATTATGTCTTATAGGGGGCGTTATATCTTGCAGGTGGGGGCGTCATGTCAGGGGCGTTATATCTTGGGGGCGTCATGACCATAAATCTTGAATCGAGGTCGTAGGTCAAGGTTGTTGGTGAATTTAACTGGAAATATGGTCAAATACGACTCCTCTGCTCCCTGTGGGCAGTGATGTTCATCTATCTTCACAAGATATTTCTTTTTTTTCACAAAATATTTTTGACTTAAGTGTTGGCGAATCGACTCAGATCATGTAGGCGAAAGAATGGTAGGTGAATCAACTTGTAGGTGAAATGACCGGCTACCAGCTCCTACCAAGACATTTCTTCACAGAAGACCCAAAGAAGCCGGGGTTTGCTTATTTGCTTTTGGTTTGCTGCACTAGCTGTACAAGAGGAGGAGGAGACGTCTGCATATTAGTGGCCAGTGTCACGAAGTTTAGGTGTCACTTGTCAGCATGTGACTAATACTTTTGATGTTTTGTTGCAGATATAGTCATGAACTGGATGGAAGATGTATTCTTGTACCAGTATGTAAAAGTTGCACTGGTGAGTTGTGAAGTTGAGTTTTTATTTTCGTGTGTTTTAGCTGCCTGCAGGTGTCAAATTTCACAAAAGTGTGGTTAAGTGCTTCAGGAAATACCATATTTATTTACCTATAAGCTGAACTATTTTTTCAGAAATTTGGACTTGTATCGACCAAAAACATTCCCAACAAAGGGGTTCAGCTTATAGCCGAGTTTGATGGATTTTTCTCTCTCTCAGGTGTTGAGAACTTATGGAAATGTCATGCAAATTCTGTGATCGACTTGTAGCCAAGTCAGCATCAGTGAAGCACAATAAATCATAATATTATAAAGACAAGATGAAATTGTTGGTCAATAAACTTTTATAGATTTGGTGGCTCCTAAAGGAGCCATTTTTTGAAGAGCTTTCAACTGGTAAGCAGTTTACTCGCCATTGCTCTCGCTTTCACTCTCGGTCTCTAACTCGTTGTCTTCTTCATTGTTGTCGATTTCCTGCGCCT